GCAGCTTGTAATGCGTGTTTAGCATTTCATTTGCCGTTAGCTGGGTAACAAGCATTTATTGACTACCTTACAGGAATGGGGCACTGTGCTAAGCACAGCGTGGGGACAGGGACAGACTCGGCTCGGTGTCTATCGGGAATGGAAATGCCTCCTTCATGTGGAAGCCACAGTCCACTGCGGAGATTCCTGCCCCTTCAGAACTCAGGTTCTGGGTTCTGTTGCACACTGCTGCAGCATGGAAGTGCAGTCTGAGGTCTTAGCTTAAAACTGAAGCTTCAGTGGGAACCAAATTAGGGGGTTGTGGAGCGCAGAGTGACTCGGCCTGGGGATCATGTTTGAGGGCGGTGTGGGGTAGGGGTGAATGTGGGAAGGCATCACTTAGAAATGGAGGCTGTCACCATGAGGGTACCTGCTTGGCACTGGCGAGGTCCTGGGTTCAAGCCCCAGCATGAAATATACCTAGCAGGAAGAACCCCCAAAGTTAAGAAGTAGGTGGTGCAGGCCCTCATGCCAAGCAGCAAACTGCCTGTGGGGACACAGGCAGAAGGCGGCCACAAGCCAGGCCAGCCGGATCCAGAGGGCAGCGGGATGAGCCAAGGCCTTCCTGTGCTACCCTTTAATGCCAGGGGAAGCGAAAGAGACGTGGCCCTTGAGTCTCCAAGCTTTTTGAGCAGACACTGTGTCCCAGGTAAGATGCGGTGTCACCCCAAAGTGGAACTTGCAGCGAGGTGTCTACCCTGGAACGGAAAAGCCTCCTTAGTGATCGTGTGCAGCGCTCAGGGCCTGAATCAGTGGAAGCGGGGCTTGGCCAGGGACCGGCGTCTGGCAGGTGCAAGCCAGCGTGTCAGGGCGCAGACTGCTCCGGGCTGCCAGCTGTGTCCGACACGGGTTTCCTCCACCCTGGACCAGACTGTAAAGCAGAGAACTGGGACGGGAGGACAGGGAAGGACACTTCAGCCTCTCACTGCAGCCTTCCTCCTGAGGCTGCGTGGACGGCGACGAGTCCTGTGGCTCTGAGGGTGCCCGTCCTCCCTTCTGCAGGGCCGGCCTGCTCAGGCACGTCACACTTCCCGCCCTGCCGGGGCCGACACCAGGGATGTGCACATGTGTAAAGACAAAACTGCAGGAAGGCAGAGCACACGTCCTGGCCAGCTTTTATTTGTGAGCATCCAAGGGATTCTCAGCCTTGTGTGAGCAGCCAGGTGGGCTTCTGTCCTCCGAGGCCGGGTGTAGACTTCAGGACCACGGCTCAGCCTCCGGCCCCATGGCTGTGACTCACACTGTCAAAGGCCTGGCAAGGCTTCCGTGGCTGGCCCTGTCCCTCCTCAGCCACCCACAGTTACCATCTCCCACTTCAGCAGCTGCCCTCAGCAGCAGGCTCCAGGGACAGTGTGACCAATCACAGAAGGCTCCAACAGGGAGGGTTTAAAGACAGGAGGCATGAGACCATCTCCCCCTGGACGAAGAGCGGAGTCCCTTTTGTGGCACCAGCAGCTGTGGCAGAGCCAGGATTTGGAGCAGCCCAGCAGAGGCGGCGCTGCCGCTCCGTGGTGAAGCCACTTCCCTACAGGGCCTCCTGGAGCTGCCCGTGCTGCTCCCCTGCCCCGCTGGTCTCCTGCTGGCTTCAGAGGAGGAGTTTCCATGGGGCAGCACGGTGTGCTGCTGGACACACATGGGGACAGACACTTCATTGGTCACGAATGACTGCACAGCAGAGAGACCCTGGAACCTGCCCCTGTGAGGCCTGCCCTTGGAGAATCCCAAGGCCACAGGGACAGGGCAGGCAGGGGCAGGGCGTCTTCCCACACCTGTGGGTGACAGTGAGCGCACACCCCAGTCATTGCCCAGTGGAATGTCAACAAGGACCAGGACCCAACCCCAGGTGGCAAAGGAGCAGAGGCCAGGAAATGGGGACAAGGTCAGGGAGCAGGGGTGAGTGAAGACAGGGACTCCACCTGGCACTGGCTCAGCGAGAGCAGACTCTGCTGGCCAGCGAGGGGTAACCAGGACGCAAGGGCTGACAGTATAGACGGTATTCTGTCCTGCCCAGTATAGACGGTATTCACTTGGCAGGCGCAGGTGGTGCCCAGCCAGCCTGGGAAAGCCCCACAGCATGGCACCTGCCTTGGGTGCTGCTGTCCAGAGGGAGACCTGCGCAACAGTGGCGGGGAGCAGGAGGGGCTGGGGTGTGCAGGGCTGAGGGCTGCTGGGGACGCCTTCCGAAAACAGCGGGCTGGAGGTGCAGGGCCCAGGGGAGCTACAGAGGCTGCGCTCCAGCCAGGGCGTCACACGGTGAAGAGGGGAGGATGGTGGAGTGGGCAGGCACAGCCGACGCTGAGCAGGACTGGTGCTCCGGAGCCCACAGAGGACTCCTGTGCCCACTGCAAATAGTGCTGTGCACCCGGACCGGGCTGCGGGTTGGGGTGCCCGTCCCCCACCTCGCAACCATGGAAAGAACACTAATGTGGCCACCACGGGGCGAGGCGTTGAGGCTCCCCTGGGCTCCCAAAGCAGCCCACCTGTGTACACCCTGGCACTGGGCTGGGGGCCCTGCGGGACTTACCAGCTGCACCTGGGCGACCTTGCAATGTGCCCACCGCTCCAAAGGACGACTCCAAATGGCCGGGTGCCAGGCCAGAGCAGAGACACCTGAAACTCCCTGCAGGGCGCCCAGGCACTTCAATCAGTCTGTCAAATCCAAGTCGGGCCTACTTGTGGGGACTCGTATTAGGGAATTGTGGAGGTTTTGCAGGTAACAGGACCACTGGTCCCGCCTCGGCCTCTAGGCTCCGCCCACTCAGGCGCAGGGCTCCACCTCCCTCCAGCACATCCTGTCCTCCAAAGCTGCTCTCACCAGCATCTTCATAGAGCCTCGGGCCGCTTCCTTGCAGCTCAGGGGCACAGGCGGCCAGGTGGGTCCGGCCAGTCCTGATCCACCCACCTTTGCCCCTGCAGTTCACCAGCCTCCAGGGAAGCTGTGAAAAGCCAGCTGGGTAGAACCCTCCATGTGGATCCCTGAGGCTTCCTCTTATCACAAAATTCAAACTTCACCTTGGGAAGTCCTTGTAAACTGGCGAGTCACGCCACACGAGACCTGCACTCTGCCAACACAGTGCTAGTACCCAGCTCTCCCCGCCGAGGCTCCAAGCCGATTCCTGGCAGCTGCTCCAGTGCCGTCTCCAGGCGCCCCAGGCCTGCTGGCCAGCCCCCCCCCCAGCACCCTGGAACCTGTGTTTGTCCCACTCTCCTTGGCAACCTGTCTCCCCACTGGGACCTGAGCTCCAGGGTGCTCGGCTTACTCACTGCCCCCTCCTCGGTGCCCACATGGGTCTGGCACACAGGCGTGTCCTGTGTGCACAGGATGATGGCCCCACGAAGAGGGGTGTGAGGGCGCCCGCCTAACAGTCCACCGCTTGTGCTGACCCAGGCTGGGCCTCGCGGGGCACACAGGGCAGACACTTGCTGAAGCAATCAAGGTCGTGCTCGGTCCAGATTCCCAGCAAGCACAGGGAGGCTCTCACGTGACAGCGGAGGAGCTCGAGACAGCAACTCCACAGGCGCCTCACTCTGAAGCCTCCGCACTCAACTCCCTCCACAAGGCCCGGGGTGTGGCTTTGGGATCCCTGGAGAGGAAGCCGCCAGCAGCAGCTGGTCTCTGCCACCGTGGGGTCCGCGGTACCAAGAGCACCCCTGGACAGGCACACACTGAGAGGTGGAGGCACCCGGTCCCACCAAAACCTCTCACGAAGGCCTTTCTCTCCCCCCTCCGTCCACTTCCGGTCACAGGAGAGGCCAAGGATGCGCGGGGAATGCGTGGGCGGGGCGTGCGACTTCCGAAAGCTTGAGGGGTGAGCCTCAAGCAAAACCGCACACAGGAGGGCTCCCCTGTGCGGCCGACCCCCAGAGACAGCCAGTGCAGCTCACTTCTGTTGTCCCCACCCAAGTGCCAGCACACACACTCCACAGAGGCAGGGAAGGTGTCTTTATTAAAGATGCAAGCAAGCACAGAAGTACCGTGTGGGGTAGTGCCCGGGGATATCCATAAGTACTAAAAATAGAAAAATAGAAAGGAAATTTCACAAAAGGCAGCCTCCCTCCCAGACACGCAGCACAGGCGCCGCTGTCCCCGTCCCCACCCGCGTGCTCCATCCCAGCTTCTCCCAGACCAATGGCAACGCAGGCTCCGCCTGCCCACAGCACAGCGCTGCCCCACCTGGGACAGGGCCGGCCCCATTCCTCCTCCTGCCAAATGGCGGCCACAAAGGAGCAAGTGGTGGGCAGTACAGCCATGGCCGCTGCCCCCACACGTACTACGGCGTGGGTGGACAGAGAGCCTCCCGCAGACACAGGGGGGCAAACTGAAAACTAGAGACCCAGGACCTTTAGAGAGGTGCTGTGCCACGCCGCCTCTGCTGCCAGCGTTTGTCACTGCTTCAGGGGCCAAAAGGAAAGCCCGCAGGATCTGGCTCGTGCTGGGCGGCTGGGTGTCCACATTGCGGGCGGGACACCCCCACACACACCCCCCGCAGGTGGAAGCTCCAGAGCACCCCCTCCCAGAAGTCTCCTGAAGGTACCTGGAAAGTCACAAGGACTGAAATCCTGCCATGCACACCAGCTCCCCTGCACCCCACCTCATCCTGTCTCATGGGGACCTGAGAGCCAAGGGACAGCACCATGCAGGGCCTTGGGTGACTCAACTACCCACAGAGGCCATCGGACAGCTTCTGCCATTGGGTGGTGACTTGCTCTTGCTTCCCCTTGGAAAAGAACTTTTATTTGTTTTACTGATATTTATTTAGGTTTCCTGTGAAAAGCTCTAGAAAATACAGTAAGTAGATGGGGCTGCTCAAGGCAGAGACTGAAGCTGCCTGCAGCATGGACTTCATACTTAGAATGCAGGCCGCAGACTGTAATTTTTATGAGGTTTGCATCAGACACGTAAGGACTTCAGACATAAAGGCGAGACAGCAGCTGTGGCCGGGGACCGCACGCGTCAGGCCCTCCATGGGTTCTTCCCCCCGTGGCTTACACACTGCTCCCGGGTATCCAGCAAGGGATAAATGAATGCATACAAGACGTTAGCTAGGAGCGTCTGGGGACCGCATGCAAGTTCGCCATTTCCATCATTATAAATAAAAGTCAAACGTGAGGTCACACTTCCCCATCTTCTGTTTGTACACCAAGTCAAACTTCTCGTTCATGGAGACAGTGAAGATGTCCTTCCACAGCCCAACTCTTCCTGCAAGACAAACCAGAGTGGGGTGCACTGTAGCCACTGGCGCCTGGGCCAGCTAAGGACCCAGGAGGACCCTGAGACCCCAGCCTAGGGGCGGGGTGGGCCATCGGGTCCCAGCTTTGGAAACCACTGCACCTGACTGGACACTAGCAGAACCCGCTCCCTTCCATACCCAAGGGAAGTGCTGGGGCCACCTCTGGCCTTGCCCCATTGGTAGAAGCCAGAAGGAGGGGTTTCCCCTTTGTTCAGGACTGACTCCCCAGCTCATGGGAGTGGGAGCTGGTCAGCACTGCGGAGCGTAGGCACCCTGCACAAACACGTCCGCTCCGGCATCACATGGGGCTGGGATCCCACAACACTAAGAGGGATTGATCAACAGCCATCAAGGTATCACTCGCCTCAGGGAATTTGGAAAAGAAAAAAAACCGACTCCAAGGCAAAAAATATCAAGCACAGGGAAAGGTCTCCAAGACCAAGACTTTGCCTACGTTCAAAAACCCTGGGGCAATTTACAATGTGCGACCGCAACAAAATGTGCACTCCAGTATCTACTCCCAGGTCAGGCACAGGTGCCAGCGCCACACCACGGCTGAGGAGGCCTGGGAGGGGAAAAGACACAAAAACAGCACCAGGTACTGGGGGCGGGGTACACGCTGACACCCCAGCACTCCTAGAGGCTGAGGGAGGACGATCACATATTTGACTCGGGCAACTTGGCAAGATCCTGTCTCAAAATAAAAGTATAAGAAGGCTCTGGATTCAACCCTAGCACCATAAACAAAAACAAAAATCACCACCGTAAGATGTGGATCTGTTTTCCTTGCTAACTACAAAACCCCAGAGGGCCAGGGCCAGGCACAATGGTGACCCAAGCTCCCCAGTGCTGGTCACCCTACTCCACTCTCTTCCTATCGGCCCCCTTTCGGGTTCTCCCCCGTGTGGGCTGTGCGTGCTGCTCAGTGGTAGGGCACTCGCTTGGCGTGCACCACCCCTGGCATTGCACCCCGAGTCCTGCCAAGAGCAAAAAAGTACATTTACAAACTCTCAAAGCTCCTCAAACTGAAGCCCCTATTTCCTCTAGCTTCCTTATGGCCGAATAGATCTGCTAATAATGTACCACGCATACAAAAAAGGAATCCACTCCATGAGCATCTCAGCTCCTAGGGCACCTATCTCCAGCACTGTCCCTCACCAGCTCGGCGCTGGTCTTCCTGTCCTGGCAGCATCCGTCAGGTTGGCGAGGGAAAGAGGAAACTCTTCTCGCCACCCTCTAAGGATGCCACAGGGACAAGGGCAGAGCATCCAGGAAAGTATTTTCATGACTGTTTTGCAGCTGAGGCAGCTGAGCTGGGGAAAGAGGCACCCACCTGCAGAGGATTTGGACTCAGACAATTTAGGCTGTGACATGAACCAAAGGCAAGCAGTGCGGGCGGCTACCCGAGCCCCTGCCCCTCTCCACTCAGGGAGCTCTTCTGAGCACAGAGGCAATGTGCTAAAAGGAAACAAAACCACAGAACTGAAATAAACAAAACCAAGGCAGACGATGGCAAAACACACAGCAGGAAGGAGCATGTGGCGGGCAGTGTGGCCAGGCACGTCCACACCACACACAACCAAGGGGGTGTTCGGGAGGAAGAGACAAATGTAGCACAGACGAAAGCAAAAAATGCGAACAGATCATAAATAATAATGAATGTGTGTGAAAATGCAGACAGGAAATAAACCACAAGGCCTTCTGCTCTGGTTCACTTCTTCCTGTGGGAGGCCCCTGTGTGACCCTCAGCTGTCCAAAACCACATCCTGGGGCACTGGGCTGCACCAGCGCCCGGCTCCACCTCCCCCGCTGGGCACTGCCCCTCCAGCCTGCCCAGACTGCGAGCTCATGGAGCAGAGGACAGGGCTGCAGCTCCGGCCCGTCCTCCAAGCTGACCCTTGAGCGCCCCACTCACACTACTGAGGGCCGGCTCACCACAGCTGCTCAGAGTCAGACTTTCCAGGAGGGGGCTCACATGTCCACGGCCACCACCTGGGACTCATCCTGGAGACTTTACTGCCCAGCTCACCACCAAGCAGCACGAGATGCCACGTGCCCCTGAGGAGTGTGAGCGGGCAGACAGGCCGCCAGCCCAGAGCCCCTTCCTTCTAACTGTGCACACCCACTGACTACCACGCCCCCCCAGGGCACCTGCCTCCCTCCCCTGGGCTGCCTGGAGTTCCTGCCCTGTCCGATCATCTGCCCTGGAGGGCCCCTTCTCATCTGCAGTCTGTGTTACCTGCACCCAGAAGAGAGTCAGACTGCGTCCTCCAGGACAGGAAGAGCGCCAGGGTCTCCACTCTTGGGAGCTGGGCTCTGTGTGTTGCTGTCTCTCCCACCTGGCCAGAGAGCTGACAGCTGGCAGACCCACGTCAGGTGTGTTGAAAGGCACAGTGCCAAAGCAACCCCCTGGGGCTCTACGGGCATCTATGCAGCCACCGCGGGCCCTGCTAGAACTGTCCTGCCAGCAAAACCCGAGGAGCCATCTCCAACAGCTACCCCTGGCGCAGCAACACTGACTGCACAGAGTGCTGGCTTATAAGTGCCAGCAGGCTTGGCTGGCAGGTGACCAGCGCGTCCCTGGTCAAGCAGAAGGTACAGGCCGGCAAAGCGCTGTGGTGAAGGCCTGAGGGTGCAGATGGGGAGAAGGAAGCAGGGGCCGGCCAGGCAGGCAGGGACGCGTACCCCGGCCCACGGGCAGGGCCTCAGCATTGCAGCACTGATCCACCAGCTGGTGGCAGTGCTCTGTCAGGCACTCCAGCTGCGCCTTGTCACAGGACACGCCCAGGAATCGGGCCAGCTGCTCCACCATGGTCACCAGGTCCTGGAAGAAAAGAGCAGAGGGCAAAGGGCAGCTAGAGGCTGGGACTGCACCTGCTGCCCCACGGAGACATAAACCCCAGAACCCCCCAGAGCCCTGGGCTCCAAGGGCAGATCTGGGCTTCAAACCTGGGGCCTGTGGGGCCCTGGGCAGCAGAGAGGAATTCTTGAGAAGGCTAAGATGAAATATCCTTCAGAAGCAAGACTTAGCTGGTGTCCTTCCCAGGCCCCTGGCAACTGAAATCTAGACTAGCCGGGGACAGCAAGGAGCCACTGGCCTCACCCACCACGGGACACGAGAGCCTTTGCCCGGCTCACTCAGCTCACCCGGCTCACCGCAGCCCGCACCTGTGGGCTCCTGCAGCTGTCTCCTCCCTCGAGGACTGGGGGTAAGCTAGCACATAAAGCCCGAGCGGTCTGTGCAAAGAGCCTGTCTGAAAAAGGCAGCATCTCCCAGACCTTAAAAGAAACATGTTCCACGAGGACGGCGGGAGGCCTGCTCCATCCTAGGTTCTCACAGGACTGACGAGGCAGCGTGGAGCCCGCACTCCCACTGCCGCCCAGGACAGCCTCACCCAGGGAGCCAGGCAGGGCCTGCCAGCACCCTGGTCCTGTGCAGGGCGTGGTGCAAGCGGCACTGTACACAGACAGTGCACTGGCCGTGAGCACAGGAACACCAAAGAGCTGCTTCCACTGACCTGCTGCCCAGCCTGGCGCAGGGAGGGTCAGCAAAGCGGGCCCACACAAGCCCCCAAAGGAGAAGCCACAGCCAACCACGGAGCCCAAGATCCTCTCAGGACAGTTTGCTGTCCATGGAATGCCATCAGAGGAGGAGGGGGGTGGCAGGAACCCTTCTGGAAGCTGCATGCAGCTCCAGCCCCGGAATGGGACAGCCCGCCAGGTCCACCTCCTGGGCCCCACTTCCCTGGCAAACTGTGCCAGGGACAGCAGTGGCCGGCTCGGCAGGACTACAGCAAGAGACCCACATGATGCAGAGCCAGAGTCAGGTAGGGCCCTGCACTGTTGGCTGCCTGGTCACTATCTCGTGGCTGTGAGAAGATCCAGATGAAGTGGACAGCCCACTGAGACCATCGGACGGCAAAGGCGGGCAAGAGGAGCCGCTGGGCACACAGCCAAGTGCCCCGGCTCAAAGTGTCACCATGGGCCCAAGGCGCCTATGCAGCCTGGAGTGACCGAGGTGCTCAAGACTGCTGTTCTGGCCTGAAACTGTGCATCACCCCTCAGCATCCATGACAGCCAGCCCAGAACAAGGAGGCACTGTGAGCCAGGACTGCTGCGGGCAGCCGAGGCCTGTCCCTGGTGAGCTCGTGCGCATGTGGAGACCCTGCAGGAGGGCACCGCAGGAAGGGACAGGGCTGCTGAGGCCAGAGCAGCAGGACTCAGTATACACTGGGTGAAGAGGGACCGAGGATGACTCAGGACGTCCCCCCTGAGCAAACAGGCAGTGTCAGCTGCCATGCACTTGGGGCAGAGGACACCCAGGGCCAAGGCGCGGAGCGTGGCTAGGACAGGCCCTGTGCAGTGCAGCCGCAGCACCGCAGGCCTGGCAAGTGAACAAGACCCAGGGCCCCAGCACAGGGGAGAAGACGGGAGGTGAGGCTGGGGCCCGAGCCCAACAGCCTTGGACTGCTCACGAAGAGAATCCAGGAGACCAAGAAAAGGAGAGAGCAGCCTCACGACAGCCAGAGAGAGGCAGTGCAGGCCAGTCACAGCCCGCCAGAAAGCCGGAAACGGCCCGGTACCATCCACACCACTAGGTGAGCAACGCAGAGGTCACCAGGGACCTCAGAGGCAGCCTGGCGAAGGGGAGACCAGGGAGTGCAGAAAGGGGGACAGCAGAGGAGTCTGCACGAGGAGGCTGTGTGCTTCTCGCGGCACCACCTGAGCCAGCCGAGCAGGCGGAGCTGTCCACAACTCTGGGCGCTGACATGAGACTGATCTGCTGCACCAGCACCACCCGGGGCACCACGCTGCCCTGCTCAGGATGGTGGCGGCAGCGCGGCGGTGTCCCCTTGTGCACAGCAAGCCCTGGGGTCCGAAGCCTGCTTAGCATCTCTGCCACCCGGCCTCAGAGCACAGCAAGGCCGTGTCCCGCATGCTCAGCTGGACCCTTCCAGCACCAGGCGGCGGTGCCACATGGCCATCAGGGCAGGCCACCTGCCTTCAGAGCCTGAGCACTGCATTTAGCAAAGGAGCAGAGAGGGACTGGGAATAGGGGTTCCAGCGTGTTCTCTGTGGGTAGAGGCTTCCCTCACGGCGGGATCACACACAGTGACCCTGCCCAGCACCGGGAGCTGCGTGGCCACCCACAGGGCCAACTCCGTCACCTACTCACCCGGTGCATATCCTCGTACTTGAGGAAGAGCACATTGGCATCTGTGCGATGCTCCCAGAACTCCTGAACGTGCTCAAACCAGGATCCGTAGCCCACTGCGGAGACAAGGAGGGGTGAGACGGCAACAAAGGGGTCAGCGGGCACCAAGGGAGTGCCCTCTGCCCTGGGGTCCCCCTCCAGCAGCAGGGAAAGAGGGGCAGCCTGATGCAGACAAAGGAAGAGCAGCTCCCAGCTAGGGAGGACAAGTGACCCAAAGTCCCTCACTGCCTATGCCTGGCCAGAGGGTAAAGCTCCGAAGACACTCTGCCCACAGTGCTGGGAGGGGGTCTCCACAGCATGCAGCAAGGGGCTCAGTAAGAAGAGAATGAGCAGGGTGAGACAGGAGGGGTGTAAGAGGCTCCAGACAGCCTGCACCAGTCGGGTGATGGGGAAGCCACTTGGGGCCCCAAGAGGAGCCAGTCGCCAACTGTACGTGGTACCAGCTATGGGCAGACCAGAGCTCTGGGTCCCTCTTGCACCTGGTACCCCCACTGCTCTGCAGGCTCCCTGCTCTCCAGCCTGTGGGAAGGCACAGTTCACCCCAGACCCTCCTGGGAAGAAGCCAGCCTGGGGGACAGGTCCCCCACGCTGCACAGACCATGGCGATCCTGGCCATGAGTGTCCCTACCACACAGGTCACAGTGCCCCATCCAGAGCATTCCTTCCCTGCACATCATGTGCCTGAATGTCCCTGGCCCTCATCCCTGGAGTCTCAGGCTACGACATGCTTCTATGGGTCTCTCGCTTGCACAATGCGTGGCCTCCACCCCCATTAGGAAGTACTGTCAGGGCTGGGGAGATAGCTCAGTAGAATAAGCACTTGCCTGGCAAGCGCAAAGTCCTGAGTTCAATCCCCAGTTCCACAAAAAAAAAGGAAGTGGTGTCAGCTCCTCTCAGGACCTCTGGTGAGAGGTCGGGCCTCAGTGGTCCCAGGTCTGGCAACAAGCCAGGGGCTGAGTGGCTGAAGTATGGCCAGTATAAGCATTGGCTCCAATCAGCCAGAAGCACTGTTCTGTGATGTGCTGAGTCCAGCAGGAAGGGGAGCCTAGTGGTAAGCTCTCAGGACGGGGGTGGTGCGGGGGGACTGGACAGGACACTAGAGCTCCAAGGACCAGACCCTCCTCTGCAAAGCAGGCCGTGTCACATGCACAGTCACCAGGAGCCTTGGGCTTTGCAGGTGACAGCCCAGCACAGGGCAGGCCTGAGAACAGCTCTGCCTGGGAAACACTTACGCTTGTCGTTCATAAACCGCCGGCAGAATTCCTGGAAAGTGCCTCGGTAGCTCATGGTCCGCAGGGAGCGGTGGAACTGATAGTAGGACACCACCAGGTCCTTGGGGTTGCGAGCCATGTAGATGACCTGTGGGTGGCAGGGGTTAGAGGTCACCTCAAGCCAGGGTCCACAGAGACAGCACCTGCTGGGTCACTGGAGTATCTGGCTGTACTCGCCTTCTAGAACTACCTTACAGCAGATGGCAGAAGGTCATGAGTGACGCTGGGGCTGAGGTCACAGGCCTTGGGAAGGCGCCATCCTTGGAATGAGCCCAGAGAACCCCCACTAACACAAGGGTAATCCTGGAACCATTACCCAAGACAGACCCCAGCACACAGAAGTTCCTGGGGTGGGAACCAGGCTGCGCACATGGTTGGAGAGAAGGGCACAGGTTACCTTGGAGTCGCCGTTGTGGAGGTCGGAGGGCAGGAAGCGGTAGGGAAGGTGGCTCTTGATGAGGCGGGGAGATGTCAATTCCTGTGGGAGTTGACAGAGGGGTGACTCTGTGGGGGATGTGACTTGTCCCACTTCTTCCCAGGGCCTCTCCAGAGGACCCAGCCCACCACCGACTTCTCCCGAGGTATGACCCGTACCCAGGCTGGAACCTGGAGGTACACATGAGGACCCCTCCTCAGCAGAGGTGCCATCTCCTGGGCACAGGAATCTGCTCAAGACTAGAGAGCTGCTAATTGGGCCCAGAGTGGCCAAAAAGGGCCACCAAGGAAGACCTGAGGGCAGCAGAGGAGCCACAGTGCAGGCCCACAGCAGCGGCTGTGAGGTGGCGACAGTCTCCAGCCCGTACCACCCCAACCCCTCCCCAGGCAGCCAGGGTGACCCTGAGAAGGATCTCTGCTTCCCTGCCTGCAGCCCCTCCACTCTCAGCCCCTCCCCCGTCACCACGGGAACAGGTCTAGCCCTCGCCAGGCCAGGCGGAGAGATGACTTCCCACCCTCTGTGGCTGCCGTGGCCCTGATACTGCTGGCCTCCAGCTGCCCGGAGACAGAGCCCTTGGCACAGCCGCGCTGCACATTCTCCAAGTGGCCCACACTGGCGCGGCTGTGTGGGCGGTGAGCGTGGGGACTGCTGCCCTGGGACGGGCGCTGCGCAGGGACCGCCCACCACGACATGGGGCAGGGGGAGGTGTTCAGAGCTGCACCGCACCCAGCCAGTCACGGGGAGAGCTGGCACCAGGGCTGCAGGGGGCACAGAGCGGAGGGAGCCCAGTCCACCGGAGGGACAGAGCACACAGGGCTTGCGGAGAGCACTGCATTATTCCTGGTACCAGGTATTTGCTTTTTGTTTGCTTTTTGTCTTTTTGTTATGTATTTGGTACAGGGTTTCATTATGTGCCCCACCCTCCCACCTAGATGGGTTACCCACACCTGACCAGAGGCCAGGGTCACAGGCCCAGGCTTGGCCCGCTCAGTGTTCTTCCAGCTATCTGGGGCTCCCTGTGCTCACCCAGTGTCCCCAAATCCCTTGAGAAGGTCTAACAGTGAGGTGTCCCAGGGCTCGCCAGGGGCTGGGCTGCTGCCCACAGTACCTTGATAATGTCCAGGCCTGGCTGTGGATACTCCAGCACTGGGAGCTGCTCGTCAATGTTCATCAGGCCGATCTCGTCGGGGTCGGCGCCCTGGCTCACCAGGTAGACCACCTCCTGCAGCAGGCTTGTGCCTGGGGGAAGGGGCCCGGCTCAGAGGGAGGGGTCTAGCCCAGAGTCGGGGACAGCAAGACCCAGAGCCAGCCACAGCCCATGCCCACAGCCATGCAAGGCCGAGGGGCCTCTTCTCGAGGGGCCCAGCTGCTACAAGAGCTGCTGCCCAGTGTCCCTTCTTAAAAGGGGCAGCATGACATGTACTGGTCCCTGCTGGACACAGGGACCATCCCTTGGGAACAACACACGTTCTAAAACCCTTCCCAGCTTTCCACTGTTCACAAACAAAGGCCCAGGAACCCACACAAGGCCCCCACCCAGGCCTCTGCCCAGCCACGCCCCAACCTTGGGCGTCTCCACCACAAGCCCAGGCTCCAGGGTCACTCACATCCCACACCCAGGTCTGCACACAGCCATGTGCCTGGTCCTCCATGCTGAGCCCTGGGCCCACACACCCCGTTGCACACTGCCAGCCCTGCACACAATCTGAGCAGCTCAGCCTCTGCCTGGGGCAGGACAAGGCAGGCCCAGCCCAGGCCACCCAAGACCACCACACTTAGCCATCCTGGCATATTGTCCATTTTGGGTCCCCTCAGGCCAGGTGGGAGTTGGTGGGGACTGAGGGAGCTGCCGAGAGCAAAGGCCACACCACACAGCCTCAGCCTGTCCCATGCCCCTCGGTATCGCACAAGCTCAGTCCTCCAGCCCTCCTTGTCACCACCTCCTCCTGTGACCTTAGGGTGAGCTGGGCACCTCCCTTCCAGGGAGGAACAAGACCTCAGTCTCTGTCTTGTTCCCCCTCCCTGCTAGCTAGGCGGCCTCACCCCGACCATCCTGCAGCCCCAACCCTGAGGAACTATACTTCTTCATAGGTATGAACCTTCCTCCCTTCCTCACAGGTACAACAGCCCAGCTGCTGCCCCACCACTGGGTGGACCGGAGCAGCCCCTCCTACCTGAGCCACTTCCCAGGAGGGGACATGTTGCCTGCTTGCCACACAGCACAGCATGTGGCTCAGACACAGAGGTCAGCTCAAACTGCCATCCACAGAAAGCCCTCCCTGCCCCAGACCTTTCAGCTGATCCATACCTTCCGCACCTGCCTGCTGGCTGGTGGCACCTGCCAATCCCCTGCCTGGAGCCTGTGCCTCTCTCATCCTTCCTGCGCCTGGTTAAATGTCCTAGCAGCAAGGGCTCCCCACCACCTCATTGTCCCTGCTGTGCCCACAGCCCAGAACAGAGCGTGCTCTGTCCTTGGCCCCACTGTCCCACAAGGACAGGGGCTCCAATGCAGCAGGCCAGCCCGCTCCCTGCATATCCTCCTGTCCTGAGCAGCACCAGGATGCAGCAATCGAGGAGACACCAATGTCCACCAGAGCATGCACGCCACTCCGTGGAAGGAAGCAGCTCTTTCGTCCTGGTCCAGGCTCAGGGCTTTCCTTACCCTGTGATCTGGCACCACGACCCACTAGAGGGCCCCTAGGCACAGCCATGCCCAGGGTCACAGAGCTGGGCATGGCCAACACACTGCTCCTCCTGATAAGTGGCAGTGCAGGCAGAGTCCTCAACATGGACCTCCCTGTGACGTCATCCTCTGTTCCTGGTGGCCCCCACCCCCTCTGGATGCACCCCACAGCCCCCATGGACCAACTGCTCAGATGAACTTCTCTATACACTAACATCTTCCCCTTCGATCCCACATTTCCTCCATTAAATATTTATGCCAGAAGATACCACCTCGAGGAGTCCAGAGGAAGAGGCCTTCAGCCTGCGAGCCCCGAGGGCTGCCCCAGGGGCCTCTCTCCAGCACCCCTCTCAAGGCCTCTGCTGCCTAAACATCCTGGCACCCCACCTTCCCCAGATGCCAAGGTAAATCAACAGAGACTGGGCAGGGAGAGCAGGGTGCAGAGGTGACAGGGCTGGGAACAGGTACTGTTCCCAGGCATAAAGCCAGCTGGTAAGACCTGACGAAATGACCAGAGTCAACTAAGCAGAGACAAAGATGACAACCACACGGTCACCTACCCGCTTCCAGGCATGCTTCTATGAACCCTGAGGCAGACCCAGGGCAGCTTCGGGACAGCCAGCATGGCTGCTGCCAAGCCTCCACCACAGGCCTGAGGGAGCTCTTCTGTCCCACCTCGCTGCCACTGTCACCCAGCTGGGGGCCCTGGACACTGCACAGGCCCACTCAGCCCTTCCACGGCTCCAGCTGGGTGCCCATGCCCAGGGCTCTTGTAGTCCCAGCCATGGAGCCCTGCAGGGGTCCATTCTCCCCACCGGCCCCAGCAGGTCTCCTTCTGTCCCCAGCCCATGGCCTCTAACACGCCTGGCCAGCCTGGACTAGATCTGGGGTTGCTGCGCCCAAGGAAGCCTTTTCTGGTACCCCAAGAAGTCTGCACTGGAGCCCTTCCTGGCCCCTGGGGCCCAGAACTTACGGTTCCATGTCACCCAGTGCCTGAGTGGGGGCTGAGGGAAGGCCGGCACTGGGTGACATAGAACCGGAGGTCAGAACAGTGGACACGAGGCAAGGGCATGGCAGCACTTTCCAGAGACGCTACTCACTCCTCTCTCCTGTGCCTGGGCTCTGGCCACCGTGTGGTCACTCGCCAAGGGAGGCACCCTCCGGAATCCTCCCCTAGCATCCTCCCCTGGACCAGGCCTCTCGGCAGGTCCGGGAAAGATGTGGCCCCAGTTTGCCCCTTCTAGCAAAAGGAGGTGACTCCCCAACTTCTCAGAGGAAGTGACAGAGGAAGGAGCACAAAGGGACCTGCTCAGGTCACGGAGGCTCTGTGAACACGCAGCCCTGAGCACTCAGGCCCCACAGGCAGTGCGGTACCCAGCGTCAGGCTGACGAGGCGGGCAGCCCTCACTGGAGCCTCACAGGGAGGGAGGGCAGGAATGCGTCCCACCACCAAGGCACCTAAGCACAGGACTCACAGCCTAGGGCTGGGGCTGGGAAGGGGGCTGCACAGGAGTGGGCCTCAGGCTCCCAAAGGGTCAAGTGGGGCAGTGACAGGCAAAAGCTGAAGTCCTAGGAGACCCACCATGGTGCCGAGAGCCTGGGACAGAAGGGCAGGGACACCCTAGAGGCACCGAAGCTGCTGAAGGCTACAGAGGACAGCGCCTGCGGCCAGCACATCTGGCCTCTGCAAATCTGACCTGCTAATGACAGGGCGGGGCTCCGCCTTGTGACATGAGCTGCGAGCTGCAATTCCACAGGCTCTGTGCCTGCGTGGACCAGGCACACAGCCCACACAAGCGCTTCTGCAGCACTGGGGACACAGCTCACCCTCCCGACCTTCCCCAGGTCTGGAGCAGCCCCTCAGTTCCAGGGAGACCTGCGTGGCAAATGCTAGCCACAGCTTGTCCACACCCATGGAGCCCCACAACTTCCGCCCAGAGTTGCGGAGACAGAAGGCACCTTGTTCTGGGGTCAGAGGCACTCAGAACCAGGCCCAGAACATGAGGTTCCCTGTGACTTTCGTTTATATTATTTACCAAAGTTACACTCCCACCAGTTTAAGAAGGCCGAGTCCTGCCCCGCACTGAACGGAAGCCCACCGCGCTCCTCCCGCCTTGTCTGCTCCCCAGGGGCCAAGCCCTGGTCCTCTCAGGCTCACACCTCCGAATGCGGAGCTGACGTCCCTGCTCACCATCTGTGCAGCTGAGCAGCTCTACAGACTCCAGCCACAGAGGAGGATGCAGCCAAGTCCTGCCCCGAACTCCTACAGCGCAAGCGACACACACACTCTCCCCTCTGCAGAGCCGCGCAGCTGCCGCACCACCTGAGTCTAAGCTGGAGTTACCTGAGTGCTTTCTGGGCTTGCCGGGGCCCACACGTCCTGCCTCGCGCGTCCTGGCGCAGACAAGCACCGCTGCTTGCCTGCTTACTCCTCTACATCACTGCTCAGACTCAACTCCATGACAGACAGACCTCTCTGCAGACAGGGCTCTCCCCCACCTGCAGGGGCTGCGTCCCAGCACCCCGGGACTTGTGAAGCTGGGGACAGTGCTGAACACAGTGATGCGTCTCTTCCCATCTCACCTGGGATGAGGGTTAACTTACAGGCACAGCAGGAGAGTACAACACAAGCGAAGCACAAGGAGTACAACGCACCGTAACATACCACGCGTTAATCCTTCACTGCACCAGCAAGGGTTTCAACATGTCGTTCCCTGGGTAACTAAAACCAAAGATAAGCAGGCCCCTTACTTCTGGGGACCATCCGTACCCCACTCCCTCCCCTCGAGGGACCTGCCCATCACCCAACACAGACACATGCCACACAGCTGTCTTCCAGGGTCAGCCCTGCCCTTGGGCCCCTCCTCACAGGCACCTCTGGTGACAGGCCCGAAGACAGGTATCTCACTGCCTGCTAGACAGGCTATGGGCGGGCACAGAACCCAGGTCAAGGTCCTGGCCTCCCCACTGCCACCTCCTGCTGTGACACTGAGGGCCTTGTCCCAGACTCACAAGGCTGCTGCTAACACACCCCTCCACAATCTGCGCTCCTGAGCCTCAGCTCCTTCCTTCTTTTTTCCCGTTGCCTTCACCCCGAGCTACATCTCCACCCTTATCTTACAATTTTTGAGACACGGTTTCCATTGCCCAGGCTGGTCTGCAACTTGTGATCCTCCTGTCTCAGTCTCCCAAGGTGCTGGGATCACCGGCGTGCACCACTGTGCAGGGCTGAGGCTCAGCTTCTAAGGACCACAGCAAAGAGCCTCGACTCTCTTGAGTACCACACCAGGCTCTTGGAAGAGGGGACTTACGCAGCTCAAATCTCCGCACTCTGCAAATCCTGGTTTCACCCATTTCTCCCTTCCATACTCTCCATCTTCTTTCTGGGAAGACGAGATCAGTCTTCTAATGTTGTTGTTACTTTTTGTTTCTATTTGCCATTCTGTTTTCTGGGCTGCTTCCTCAGCCCGACACCCACACCCTCCATGCAGCACTGGAGTTCAGCCCTCTTTGCTCTGCTCCTGGGGGTCTCAGGGCCCCCACCCACTCCTGCACT